AACTTCAAGTAATGATTGCGTTGCAAGTCCAAATTGATTCGACATGCAGTTTAAATGATTGAATAATGGATTTAAAAATTCATATAGAATTTATTACACACCAAAATCCAGTCGTGATCGTAGAAGGCGCTCTCGAATTTATTTGTGTTATTCATACGGTCTAATTCAAATTATTATTGTCAAATATTATTTTGTTCATTTATAGATTGTAATGCAGCTACCCGAGATTAGAAGAACTATCTTTCTCTATATCAGTTCATTTTTGCAAGAATTATTAAGTCATACACAGGATAACGAACTCGATGCTAAAACACTCGGTAAAGTTGTTCTTATATTACATCCATTTCTGTCTTGCTCTTAATTTCTTATTCTAATGCCATACATATAAGCATTGACAAAAATACTTTTAAAACATTTTATTTGTGTGTACAGCGACGCTGTTTGGATCAATATTTTTAAGAGATCCGCCTAGAAGCAGAGACGATCGTCACCAGAGAAGTCGCGCAACTCAAATTACTTTCGACAAAAAGAAAGCTGCATTTGTTTATCATTTCTTAGTCAACGATCAAAGTGATTTTATATTGGGTCGATAACGAGTAATTTAAAAATTTAAAAGAAATACTAGCAGCATTACGAATTTCTTATTTACAACACTTTAAAACAGAGAAAAAAATAATGAAATTAACTAGTATTACTGCAATTATTTTTTCATGCTTTTTATAATATTACATATAGAATATTTTTTATTCATCACAATTAAAGCACTGTTTTGAAAGCTACGTAGTTATAATTCAGTAAATATCTATCATAGATAGTCAATAAAATTTTGTATAAATTATTATTTTTTAAAATTATTAAATATGCGATTAGAATTGTTTACCTTAAAAAACTTTCTAATTTTCCTAGTATTATGTAATTTAATAAATTTGTCATTACGTAAATGTAGCTGATGTAGCCTTAAAACATGTCATGTAGATTTAAAAATATATCAATAATAATTATGAAATCTTGCACTTCACATTGTTTTTATATATTTCTTTTCAACGAATTTTTTTGTAGATGGATATTGTGATTATGATGAATATAATCTTTGTAAATATTTGGTGTATTTAAAAAAAAGTACAGACTAAGACAAATAAAACAAATTGTTTCTTTTTTCTTTGCATATAGAAAAAATATTCAATAGAATTTATTCACAATCATTTATTCAAATCAAACAATCAATAGAATTAATAGTTGATCATATATACATATATAAATATATATATATATATATATATATATATATATATATATATGTACATATATCAATTTTCATGACTTAAAAATGATACTCTTATTAACAATTATTTATAAGAAAAGTGAAATAAGAATCTATTTAAAAAAAATTTAAAGCCCAAATATTAATAGTTATTTATAACGTTTTATTTAAGAAAAGAAAAATACACTAATTTTTCATCGTTAAGAAAAAAAAGAAGAAAACATGATTAAATCGCACATATATTATCTTTTTTCAACAAAAATAGTACCAGTCATACTTGAGATACTTTCTATTACAAAATGTTCCTATTATCCTAAAAATTACATTAAATGCATCTAGAAATTGCAAGTTTCTTGAAATTAATATAGCAATATCTTATATATGCCTAGAACACATTATATCTAAAAAAAAACTCAATTATCGAAAATGAAATTATTTTATTCAATACTTTATTCCTCAGTATATATGTATAAAATGAGATCATTGTTCAAAATTGAATAAGATTCGTATTACTTTAATTAAGATTTTTTTAATTATTTTTTGTCATGTAAATATTGCTGAAACCTAATTAATTGATTCAAACATTCTAATTTTTATTGTAAATAGCTATCATGTTATAATAAATGAGCCTCATATTGATAAATTCTATGATTTATATATTCAAACCGAATTTAAAGATGTGTTCATTCAGAAATTAAATTTATTTATCGGTGAGTCTTCCATCATATTAAATTCAATCTGTCCATCAGAATTTTCTTTAACTTCAGAAGTAAGAGTTTCTTCGGTATCCTAAAAAACAATTTTTTAAATTTATTGGCCGCGGAATATAAATATTTTTACTAAATAATTATTTAATACAAATTATATATTTTACTTATTTAGATAAAATATTAATCTGTCTGTGAAAAAAAAACTTTCTAAATAATTATTTTCAATTTATAAACATAAAATAAATATACAAACCCTTTGAGAAAAAAACGCATCAATTATAGCCATAGATTTTTGATAAACCTGCTCATTCTGATGATGTTGAAGAGCTTCTATTTTATCTAATCCTCCAGCTTCTTCGATCATGATAGCAAGTCTTTCTACTTGTCCTATTTTCTCTGCAGCATGCAAGATATTAGTTAAACCATCTAAGACAACAATAATAATATTCCAATCCTTTGCTTCCAATAAATTACAAAAAGGTGGCAATACACCCGCTCCCACTAATTGAGTTAAATGTTGAATTGTTCCTCCTGTTGTCAGGTTAGATATAGCCCATGCAACCTCTTTTTGTGCCTTATAATCTCCCTAAAAAATATATATTTTATCCACAAAATTCTTTATTAAAATATTTAAAACAAATCTTCGTTAATTGTTTCGTGTATATATAAATATACTTACAACCTGAAGTACTTCTATCAATGGTGATAATAGACCAGCATTTATCACACTTTCGATTTGATCTGTGTTACCAGCCATAATATTACTGATTGCCCAAGCAGCTTCTTTTACAATATTGGCACGATGATGCCGCAACAAGGCACCAAGATACGACAATCCTCCTGCCAAAATTACAGCATCCGTCTGAGCATCGTCACCTGTTACTATGTTTCCAACTGTGCGCAATGCTGGAGTAAGGATAGTTCCTTTTTGCGATGTCAGCAACTCTACAAGTTTTGGTATAATGCCAGTTTCTAATACCGCTTGTATTTTATCATTAGATCCATCAGTAAGATAAGAAAGTGCCCAGCAAGTATCAGCTAGAACAAACAGCAACATAAATATTTCAAATTAAGAATAAATTATATAATATATAAAATATCAATAACAGATAAAACATAAATATCTTACCAAGTACATCTTGATCTGTACAATTAAGAAGGCGATTGAATACTGGTAGAACAGGTCTAATCAATTCAAAGGATGGAGGTGGATTCTTATTTCGACATAAATTAGATAAAGTCCATACGATGTTGCGCATAAATGTCATCTGCAGATTTCATTAATATTAGAAAATATTGTCTATTGGTTAGAATAGAAACTTAGTTGCTAGTATAAGTTTTGCAATAAGGATAACTAAATTTAGTTTAACAAATAAAGAACAAGAAAAAAAAATAAGAAATATTTTATTTCAGCATGAACATATTTCACATAACTGATCCAATAAATGAAAAAAATTATGCTCTCACTGCTATCAGATAAAATAAATAAAATACTGTGAAGTAGTTTATTGAAAATGTTTAAATTTTTATCGTGTAACTAATTTCTCTCGAATAGATAGCATTTGAAGTCTTCATTATCAAAATATTTATAAATTTATGTAGACAAATAAAGAAAAATGTTGTTTCTATGTGTCAATAAAATTTTACAGAAAAAAACTGACAATATGCAAGTATGTAAGTATGTAATGTAGTCAAAGAATGTTGTTAAATACAATGTTACTTACTGAAGTTTCAGGTTTAATTAAATTAAGCAAAAGAGGTAGAGCATCATGCTCGAGAACAAGATCACGTGCATACGGTCCATCTCCGGCTATATTTCCTAATGCCCATACTGCTTGTTCCGCAACAATAGGCGATGCAGATTTAAGTAGCTTCACCAATTTTGGTACCGCTCCATAGTTTACAACATTTTGCGTTTGTTCAGATGTACCCGAAGCTATATTAGTTAATACCCATGCAACTTCAAATTGCAAGGGAATGCTAAATAGAAATACAGAAATTATTTTATGGGTGAAGAAACGATTTACTTCATTTTTAGTTTTAATATACATACTTGTGATCACTATCTAAGAGCTTAATACAGCGTGGTACTACACCACCTTCTATCATATCATTTATAGGAGGATTTTTTTCTCGACTTAATAATTTTCTGCAAGTCTGAATTGCTAGCAATTGTAATGTTTCGTCTGATGAATTTATGTAATTTACAATTTCATCTATCGAAAGAGCAGTGGTGGGTGAATGCTCAGCTTCATTTGATAAATCTGGCAGTTCTTGCTTTGTGTCAAGATTACGTCGTTTTGACAATTGATCATCCTTTTTGGCTTTACGTAGCTCCACTGATAATGTATTCCTTCTTATTCTTGCTTCCTAAGATACATACCAAATATATAAAATGTTTTATATTTATATTAATTATATAAAATAATTAAAATGTCTTAATGATATAAAGCAAGCAAGAGAATATTAAAAAGTATACTAGATATTTTTATATAAAATTAAATATGAAACAGAATTGTAATAAGATTGTTAGTTGCAGATATAAATTCTTTACTTAAATTCTAATATAAATTAGAAAACAATTTCATTTACACTTACTTCGTGTTTATTATTAAATTTAAAATTTGCTATGCGTCCATGACTGTGGTCCTCTCGAGAAGGCATTGTCTCGATGTTGTATTGATATTTTAGCTGATTTCGAACTATTGTAGATTCATTTGCATAAATGTTTTAAAAAAAGATTCAAATTATACAAATACTAATAACAACTCGTTAAAATATATTAAAAAATAAAGTCGAGTCTGATAGAATGTGTCCTACAGTTAATCTCGTCAAAATTCACTTCAAATTTGCTTATTCGAAGAAGAGTCGAATAATATTACAATAAGATTAATGTATAAAAGGTTAATGCTGTTTTCAAATTTATTTTCTATAACGGTTACACGCATATAAGAGAACTTATTTATACAGATATTTATAAACTGAAACTTTACTTATATGTCTATATAACTAATTACTGAATTAAATGTATCTTTACTAATTAATCGACATAATAATAATAAATAATTACCTGATCAAATTACAGATTTTCTCACATATGCCCTTGTTCTTGTTACTCGTCTTTCTTTATGGAAGAATTCAAAGTAATCTGTTGCTACACTTCGCTACCATCAAAAATGAACAAAAAAACATTGCTATTTACAATTATCCAATGAGAAACGTGAAAAATAGCAACCGAAAATTAAACGCGCCAGAACTACGCAGTTAATTAAGAGTGCGGACGCTACAAATGGTTTGAAGCATTTGACTAGCCAATCAGAAGAAAGAATTTAGTAATTGACCAATCAAAAAATGCTTGGCTGCGTTCAAAAACTTCGCTTAGGTATAGGCTGTGTTTCGCAAAGCGCATCATGCCCATAATGTATCGGTATCCTTTGTTGTTCACTAAATGTTAAACAAAAATAAAAGAATAAATCATGCGCATAATGCGCTTTGCGGAATGCAGTCAAAGGTCCATATACAATAAGAATAGTAAGTCTTAAGCCGTAAAATATTAACAAATCATAGTTGATTATTTTTCGTATATTCGACTATAATTGGTCAATTTCTTACGGCTTAAGGTGTCTTTTCATACGCAGCACGCAGCGCAGCAAAATGTCACGTGATTCAAATTTTTCAGAATCGTTTTCACCGCATTTGTTGTGTGGCAACCCTGTCTTCTGGACAAATTCGCCAGCCAATAAGAAGCTAGCCAGGACAGCGCCACATTAGGCAGTCGTTTGTCCTCTCTCTCTCCGGGAAGAAGCTCGCCTTTTTGAGACGTTGTTCGTTTGTTCG